AAAGAGAGGCGCTCAGCCACTATAAGGCGCTGAGCGGATTTGGCCCTGGAAGAAGGAGTGCTCTCTGCCTCCTAGGCGTTGAGCGGATATGAAGCGCCCAGCCCCTTGTGCTTGCTTAACAATGAAGAATCTCTCAGGCGCTCAGCGGATTTGAATGGCTCAGCCATTCAGATTACTTCATGGTGAAGAATTCTTCAAACCGCTCAGCCGTTTCAAGGCGCTGAGCGGATTCTTCTCTTTCCTGCCTACTCTGTTTTAATTCTAGCAATTATAAAAGGGCAGGGGAGAGAGAAAAGGGGGAACAGAGACGAAAACAAAGAGAAAAACAAGAGCTGGGAGCACAGGAGGAAGAAAGAACAGAGTGGGAACGAAGATTTGGAGGCTGGATCACTTGGGAACGAGGATCAACTCCTTTTCTTCATCTCTTCCTTTGTAATTTCTTCTTCCACTCCTTTGATCTTGTAAATGGCCATGAGGGGCTAAATCTTTGAGGATTGGTCTAGATGTAACTACTAACTCTTCTTCTTCTTAAATATATATATGCATTTCATTTTCATTACTTGTGTTTGATTCTTCTCTTAATGCTTATATCGGCTTGATCACCCGTTGTATGATTTTTGGTTTTTGAATCCGGTTGGAAAACGTTTTTGAAAACCCGAACTGAATCTTGCACCTAAACATCTCTTGCTCTAGGAATAGACTTGATTTGTTTAGTCACCTTGTTCAAGTCATTGCTCTTAATGCAAAGTGTTAATCATAAAACATAGAGGAATCATGTTTTAGATTAATTACTTTAGGATTCAATTTTGAGGGATCTTGTTGAATTACTAAATGAACGTGGAAGTCATGAAGATGAAATCATATTTATTTTAAGGAAATTTAGGAGTTAGCAAGTGCTCTAGGGTCCAATCCTTGTTTCATATAATTGTTCTTATAACTTTTACATTACCGTTTTAATTTTGCCTCACATTAGCTCACTTCCAATCATATCAACATCTCTATATTAATCATTAGAGTAAGAATTACTAAATTCTCAAATCCCTGAGGACGATACTTAAATACTACATCGAAACTTGGTCCGCTTGCCAAGTGGAGAGATTCCGAAAATCTTCATCAAGTTTCTGAAATGGCGCCAGAAATGAAAAAATATCACAACTACAAATGTGTGATTAAGAAGACACCAATAGAGGACAACGAAGCATGATTATCTTAAGCTTGCTTTCAATTCATGACTAAGAAGATGACACAAGAAAGCAAACCAAGACAGAAACACGTAGCAGCATATATTTTCAACAACCAAAGACCAAACTTAACAAGTAAGATCCGGGGTGTTGTACGTTTTTATTTTCTTTTTCTTTTAACTATAGTATTGCTATATGTGCTAAAGTTTGAGAACACGTAAGATTATTTTTCTTTCAACAAACCAAAAGGGTGATGAACATAATGTATTTTCATGTTTGTATTTACGGAAATAAGTACTCATCTTTCTCTTAAAATTTTGAAAGTACTTTATCTTTAAAGTGGTGATTATTAACGTATAAAAGTGTTCATTACTTAAGTTAGTAAGTACTTAAAGTTTATAAGGGATTTTTTATATTTTCTAAAGGTAAAATATTGGAATATAAATAGTAGAGAATTTAATAGCATTCACATGGAAATAAAAAGTATTTAGGATATGCTTGAATACTTATCTAGACATATTTTTATATACTTAATCAAAAAAATATGAGTGTAAATAGATTGAGTTAAATGTAAGTTTAACTATTAAAAATATTAAAATAAACATACACTTAAATTTTTTTAATTAGTTTATAATTATCGATGTTATTTTCAAGTGACAATATGATATTAATATCTTTTTGACTCATTAAATAGTGTTCAACTTAATGTTACATTTTTATCTTATATATCGATGTTTATTTTAGATGTTGAGATATTTTTGAAACGGTAATTCGAGACCTGACTATAAAATACCAAAAGTTAATTAAAATTAGGATATTTAATAACTTGATTAAGAGATTTAAGCTGTTATTATTATTATTTTAATTATTTATTGATTTCTTCTTCATAAACTGTGAAAAATGCAACATTAAAAGAGTGATAATCAGGGGTTAGGACAGACAAGGTTACCACGTTTTCCTAAATAATTATATATTTGGATTTGGTTACACCACGTCCATGAGGAATCACATTACGGCAAGAGGGTTTTGTTCTTTCCCCCCTTTATCTTTTAGTATTTCTCCAACGAAGGGTTGTTTTATTTTGTGTACGAAAATGCCCTTCCAATTACGAAGTTTGCATTTCTTTTTCATCGTAAATTCTAATAAAAATTAAATTAGATGGAGGCCGGAGATAACGAAGACATTCGCAATGGCAATGGTACATACAGTTTGGAATGTCAATGGTACCAAAGGATGGGCCGGGCGCATGTAATAATTGAAATTAATAAATAATTGAGCTTTATTGTTTATTAGTAAGTTAACCCTAATTTAATATAAGAAACTATTTATAAAATGAGTAAATGAGATAAAATTATAATTAAGATGTCTGTTTGAGGAAACAATGAAGTTTAAAACTTAGTTGAAACAATACATTTCATCATGTGGACGAAATAAAATTTAATGATTATGAATTAATAATTTAGTATATCTATTTGTAGAAGTAATAAAATTAAAGAGATCTAAATACTTTTCTTTTTTGTAAAAGATACTAGAGTTGGTCTATTGGTAGGTCAAATAATATGTATGGATGTTAAATTTGAGTTTTATTATTGTTATTGTAATTTTTATTAATAAAAATTGGATTTTTTTTTAATTATTTGAATAATTATGCAGAAAAGATAAAATTTTGAATACAAATTTTTTGTTACTTATATTTTATCTAGAATGTAAATAAAATTAATAAAATATGTTTAAATATAATCACTATTAAAAAAATGTTATTTTCCTGCGAACTTTCCTAAAAAAATATTCGCAGAATTTTTTTACAAATTTTCTTGCAATAAGAATTTCACAAATTTATTTTACGAATTTATTTGCGAAAAGTAATTTACAGATATTTCTTAAAAAAAATTTATGAAATATAATCTACAAGAAATTTTTGCAAATTTTGCTACAATTTTAATGATCATAGAAATTTTTTTTCATGGTAAAAATTTGTAGAAAATATTGTAAGAATTTTATTTTGTTTCTTGCAGATTTTTTTGAAAAATAAATTCGCAAGTAATGTTTACTAAATGGTAGAAAAATTTTGGAGGTAACTTTTCGTGTGAATTTTTCTGTCAATTTTAATTCGCAGAAAAAATAAAAAAAAAATATTTAAATTTATAAGTTTGATATTTTATAAAAACTTTAAGTCCCACATCGATTGAAAATAAAACAATTAAAGAGTATATAAGTTGGGACAACACTTACCTTACAAGTTGATTTGTATGATTGAGTGTTAGGCTTATAATCTACAATCTTAGAGTTTAAAATATTATGTATCACATGTTAGAGGTGTGGAAACATATGCTTCGGATGAATTCATTGTGAGCATTTGAAATTTAAATAATTATTGATAGAATTTGTAGTAATTTATTTAATTTTTTTTTGTAAAAAATATTCCTGCAGAACTTCTTGCAAAAAAATTCGCAGGAAACTTTCCTGCGAATTTTTTTCGCAAGAAATTTCGCAGGAAAATTTCTTGCGAATTTTAAAATTCGCAAAAAACATATTATCTACGAAGGTATTACCTGTAGATAAAATTTCGTAGAAAAATTCGTAGGAATAATGTTTGCTACGAATTTTAATACAAAATTCGCAGGAAAAGTCGCATGTAATAAGAGAAATTATAGTAGTGTAAACATAATAATAATTAAATTAAAATAGTATCTTATTGTATTTTTTAATAAAGTAATATAAAAAATGTAATAAAAGATATGCACAACAACAACAAATAATATATATGAAATCCGGGAAAAAAAAAACTATTCAATAAATAAATATTATGATAATATATTTTCATATAAACAGGCAACATGCATGTTACCCACTAGATATCAACCATTAGTTAGGCCCCTTTGATTTGAATTTAAAAAAAATGAAAGACTAGACGATAGATAAAGGTTTAATTCTTTTTTATGCATAGTCTCGACTCTTGAGTGTTTCTAGCATGAAGTATTTTATTATATGCCTCATTTATATACCACAAAATTGACTTATTATTGCTGGTTAAAACCAGAAGAAAAAAATAAAAATCATAAATATTTCTAATTTATAATGCCTTTTCAAAGTCTCTAACATCATTGACGGCTATGCTACCGCCACAAACACCACCATCTTCCAACACTACTAGTCCCTCGCTGTCCACCACCACCACCACTCCACCGTCGCAACAACCCCCTTCTCCCCTTTCACCGCCTCCATCAACCCCACCTCGGCAACTAGGGATGACAAATATACCCGTACCCACGGGTAATACCCGAACCCGTCCCGACTTTGACGGGGAATACCCAGTTTGACTGGGTACGGGTACGGGTACGAGTACGAGTACGGGTAAAACCCGATATATTAAATCGGGTACGAGTACGGGTAAAACCTGATATATTAAATCGGGTACGGGTACGGGTACGAGTATGTACTTACTCGCCCCGTACCCGTCCCCGTTCTCATTTTTAATTTAATACTCACTTTCAATTTAATTATATTAAAAAAATTTAATATTTTTTTATGTGTGATTATTTATTATAATATAAGATAAAGAAATAACCTAATTATAATTATAATATAATAAAAAAATAATTTAAATTTACAAAAAATATATATAAAAAAATTGACGGGTACGGGTACGGGTATGGGTATACCTGATACCCAACGGGGACGGGGATGGGGATGAAAATTTATACCCGGAGGGTATGGTGACGGGGACGGGGATGGGTTGAACTCGTGGGGACGGGGACGGGTATCATGAAACCCGTGCCAAACCAGCCCCATTGCCATCCCTATCGGCAGCGCCGCTGCTTACTCCGCTGTTAATGCCTCCCCCATGTTTGGAACTTCCCGTCCATTAGCACCTCTACCATCACCACCGCCGTCTTCATTATCGCCAACTTTTTCGGCACTACCACTAGTTCCTCCTAGCTCTCCACCACCGCCACCACCGTCAGCATCGGTTCCATTAAGAAGCCCTTCACTACCCCCACCATCAAACCCTTCTAACAATACATCTCCACCACCATCATCACCACCGCCACAACCATCAACACCACCACCAAACAACTCATCATCACCACTACTGCGAAATTCGCCACCTCCTCCGGCTGCCATGCCGCAACGGTCCTCGCCACCTAAAAATTCACCACCCCCTATGATAGCACCACCCCCCAGAAACTCCACTCGATCGCCGCCGCCATCGGTTAATTCACCTGTGCCGTCAAAAAGGTCATCACCGCCACCGGCGTCGCGCAAGGCCATGGGTGGCGAGAACGTCAACACGCGCGAGCTGCGACAGAGGATGGTGGCGCGGTTCTTGGAGGATCTCAGATTTGCGAGCCTTGAGGAGAGAGAAGCGATCATCGCCGCCAGCGATACCAACCCCATCCACCCCTCCTACACCTCCATCACCTCCACCTAGGTTTAGGTCATGGAAGCTCTACATCTCCACCGTTGCAGATTGAAGGATTTAGGAGTTAGGGTTTGGAAGAAAAACAAAACCTTCCGATTGCCGGTCACAAATCTCAGTCATTCAATTTTTAAATAATATATCTAATGGTGAAAATTACTGCTTCATCCATGTACCACATTTCTTAGTACTTCATGTTAGAATTTTCCCAGAGTCTCTTATTCATAAATTAATCGGGCTAGGTATAGAAAATATTGCAAGTATAATTATTTTTTGTCCAGATGAGTTAGAGATATTTATGATAGGACAAACAAAATTTTTCTTTTTAATTATGTGTAAGGATGAGAATGTGTTAAATCATTGTAGTTGTTAAGTCTAAGTGATGGAAACTTGTTGGAGAATCCGGATTGATGTGAATCCTCTTCAAGTTCCTCCCTAGATCTTCGGCTCCTTGATTCTTCCTAAGCTTTGCTAAGGTCTCCAATGGAGGAGGAGACCTTAGAACCACCACGGTTTGGTGGAGAACTCTCCCAAGAGACGCCGCTCCTTGATGAAGAGATAAGTGTCTACAATACTCACCACACGCTTCTAGTGAAGGGGTAAGAGAATTGGATGAATATCAAAGAGGTTTAGGGACTTTTAGAAGAGAGAAATCTGAGTAATCTTCGGAAAATAATTCTCAATATCTCAAAAAGTGTCTTATAATGAAAGGAAAACAAGTATATAGGAGTAGGAAGCTTGGAGAGCAAGCTAGCCTTAACCATGGTTCACTAGGAACCATGGTAAGGTCTAGCTAACCATCCATGGTCTAGAGGCTTGGAGAGCAAGCTACTCACTTAGCTTGCTTGGTAAGCAAGCTAAGGAGAAACTTGTACTTCAAGCTTCTAAGCTTGAGAGAAAACCGGCCATGTGAACACAAGACAAGGTGGGCGGCCATGGACTTTATTTTACTCCAACCGGTTTTGAAAAATGTTGATTTGGTTTAGTTAGGTTCATCCAATGTGAATGGAACCTAGCTAAATCAAATCTATGAAAAATTAGGAGTAAAATGAGTCTAATATGAAAAATTTAGCCTAGGTCCACCTCTTGGTCCAATTGCTAGTAACACTCTCTAGCTTGCTAGTTACACTCTCTAGCTTGCTAATGCCACTCCCAATCCTACTACTAGAAAAATAAGAAAAGAGTGTATTTCTAGATTAGGTTAAATGGAGTCAAAGTGCCCAAGTAACCTACCCTAGAAACAATATACAATAGCTAATAAAAGGAAATAAAGTGCCTCTCAAATACAAAGGCAAAAATACACCTATACAAGTATCTACTATATACAAGGTACAAGAAATCAAACTATACAATGTATTTACAATAGAGACTCCTTAGATCAACCTTCACCCTTCTTGGTCTTACCTCTTCCAAAGGGATCCTTTGGGGTTAGATTTCCATCACTAAGCATGATGCTTATTGATAAGTCTAAGTGTGATGTTTAGTTAGTTAAGTCTAAGTGTGATGTTTAGCTGGAATTGTTAAGTTTAAGTGCAATGCTTAATCAATTGATATGTGAAAAATAATGGATGTGTGTGTGTGTATAAATAATTCACAGTTGAGTTTTGAGATATTGTGTGAATCATGTTGACATGTGATATACATCATATGCATTTAAAAACTTTGTTTCAGTACTTGGTGTGGAATCCGATGTTAAGGACATCCCTTAGTGATTAGTGTATCCAAACTTTGAAGGTCAACTTGGTTTCAAAACTTCAATCATTATATTTAAATAAAATATTTCATAATTATTAAAACTAATGGGTAAAAGGCATTCCATACATTTGTTTTTTAATATACACACATATGTTAATAGAGGTAGTGAGTGATTATTAAGAGATTTTTAAAAAAAGTATATCAAAAGAATTTTTTTAAAATTTATTAATTATTATTGCACAATTTTTTAGAAGTTAAAATTGTCAATAATAATATGCACACTAAAACATAGAACCCTTTTTTTATTTTTTATTTTATTTATGAGTCATAGTTTTAAAACTCAACTTAGATCGACTAGTCCGATTAGAACCCGGACAACACACCAATTTGAGTTAATATTTCGATTTTATATTTGATTTGTGAGTGACATCATTAAACTAGTTAAAATCGGTGCAAATATATAGTGACTTTAATTGATAAATATAATATATTTACTTATATATATTATAATTATTATTTTTATATACTAGGTACTTTAATTGATAAATATAATATATATACTCCAAATTTGATCGAAGCCGTATCCGGTCAAATAAATGCAATTAAATGTAGTACTAGGAAGTGACTCCTAGGTCGTCTTCCAAGGACCAATTCTTTCTATCAAAGGATCGAACATGTGGTTGAGGGGGTTTGAGCAGATTATCGAAATTACATAAAACACAGAGTA